TATTTGAAAAGACTTCGCTGTACGTTACAACAATAGCGTTACAGCAAAGATCAACGTCACCATTTAGCGTTAGTAGCTTACTAGGTCATGCTACCCCGCCACTGGAAGGTCGACAATTCGAATGAGCGATTTGTTCAATAAGCTAGAGGTACTTTTAACAAAATGATCTTAGCAGAAGTATAGCTTCCGGTCTAGCAAAATTAGCTAATCAAAATCACAATGTTTACCTTGAGAAACCATGCTTTTCTGTTACCTTTCAGGTACCGGATCGAATTTTCTCTGCTCCCTGAATCACATTTACGCTATTCGGTATTCTTCCTATCTTACCAAAAACAATATTCTGAAGTGAAAACCTTGAATCCCGTGGTCACAACGTTTTAATCGTTAAGAACTCTCTTCATGACGAACCTAATTTATTATTAGCTAAAGCTAGACTTTCTTTCATGTCGAGGTTAAGCAAAGGCACAGGCCTAACAGCCTTTCTTTAAAGGTCATTTTATAAAAACTAAAAAAACAAAAAAGTTTGGTAACTAACAAAGAATTATCTGTTTTTCAATAAGAATAAAGTTTATAATAACTTACCGAAGGAATTGCCGATATGAGAACGGCCAAAGTTAGTGCAGCTTTTAATAGAAAAAGCATTTAGCTTCAAATACCTATAAAAATGTAAATTGTACGTTAAAATTGAGGTATTTAGTCTGTCATGTGCACTTAATCTTCCAGAGGTTTATCATGTATTGCTAACCTTCTAGAAGCAGCTATCTAGTTATCAACGTTCCGTGTACACAGAACTACAATCACTAAAAAGTGTGTCTTTTAGCGTTTTGAGTACATTACGTTACATTACAAACGTTAAGTACATTACAAACACCAAAAGGGCCATTACGCGAGTCGCATTTTCAGCACTTTTCTATCTGATAGTTGCGGCGCTGTTTCCTTGTGCGCAATTTGCACAACTAATCTTATTTGGAATTAATATATAATAGACGAATTTTCCAAGGTGAGGATATAATACTTAGAGGATAGCGACTGACCCTTGCCCCCTTGTGTTGTATCATTTTAGTCAGCATTCAATTAATTGGAACTAATACGCGTAAGTTGGTATTAATCTGGCCTGGTCCTATCACAATTACACTATCCATATTTCTAAAACCTCAATTTCTCTTAGTAGACCAGCTAGTCGTTTGGAAGCCTTTCATTGGTTTGTCAAGCCCGAACCATCTTTTAAAACATGCTTAGTAAATGTTCCATTCAGACAAGAGTTGATTTAGACAAGAGCCATCTGAGATGATTTTCGACTAATGATTGATCGGTCAATCATCTCACGTCTATCAAGCGTCGCTTTGATACCGTAGGAGATATCTAACTGGGTTTTTACACGCGAAACGTAGCAGCTGTCTTTCTAAATTCTAGCTGCTAATAAGTGTGGTGATCAGGAACAAATTGAAAACCTGGATTTCGCAGGCTCCGATTCCTGACGTGGAAAGTCTGTAAAAAAACATCTCTTGTATTTTTTCGGATTTCCTACGATTCCACTGGTTGTCAAATAGATTTCTAACACCTTAACCGTTGAGCCCAGTCTTTTCCCTTTACTACGTTATCACAAAAATCGTGTTGTAGTGTAGAATTCGATAATTAATGAAACCCTTTCTAACGAAATAGATTCTATGTTTTAGATTACAATCTAGCTTACCATATGTAGTAACTATCATCTTACAAACAATATTTAGCGAGTGTTTACAATATGTTTGGAGAGGTAACGTATAATATATTTCTTCGAACTAATTATACTCCAGAGAATATATAGTACGCACTCATTATTAAAGCGCTCAATAAGAGTTATAAATATTAAAAAAAAAACACTTACTTTGAAATTTAACAAGAAGTGTTATCTAAGAAGTGGATGGAACATACCTTGTTCCAGCGCCATGGCAGCACTTTAGAGAGATCCGGCGGCGTAAATCGAAGAGATAAGCTGTTCAATTTTTGTGTACGGACCAACCATAAAGGATTTACTTTGACAGTTCACTAGAACAAAGCAGTTCGATACGAATAAAACTATCTGCTGGAAACTGTATTTACTGGCTGTCTGAGTTCTCGGTGGACACAAAGAGTGGTGAATGCATGTGAATTGTTTGTATTAGCGGCTTTTTTGGCAAGGAAGGTAAGCAGCTCGTTTTGTACCCTTTTGATGTCAACTTTGGCTCCAGAAGAGGAAGGCGTCATTTGAGGGTGTCCGTGCGCACGAAACGCCCCTAGCCCGTAAGCCCTTCGCTCATTGGTTTGTCTATTGGCCGTCAACAGCGGCTAATCATTGCCCCTAGTAACATTTCGTCTTAATGCGCTATCTCGACTAAGCATTGCGGATTGTATTGGAAACCTATGTTCCGTGAAATGTAATTAAGCCACCACCTACAATTTTTTTTCCGCCCCTAACAATTATCGGTAGTTACTGTTGCACCCTGTACAGATTTGTTCATTGTTTATCTCATGATGTAAAGAAGACATACATAATTATTAAACACAAGTATCTGTATGGCTATAGTGAGATGGAGCGGCAAAGTACGAGCTACATATAATTATTTTGACCTGAAGATTTGGAGGATTATTAGCGCCCAAGTTTTCTTCTCGCAATAACTAGATAGCCTTCCCTATTATGATCGACATTAAAAGACTACCATATTTATTAATATAATGGTTCACTTATTAACATAGTCCATATTATTTAGACCCTCTAAAGTGAGAATAAGTATATACGTGAATATGACGAGTATATGCTTTTCTCAATTTGCGTAAAGAAATAATTCATTTTCTGTAATATCTCCTATTTTCAATGGCCTATTGTCCTTTACTACATACAGCTATAAGCAAAGACGCGTGCAAATTTTCTAAAAATGTGATAAAAGGACCTTAACATTAAATTCAATTTTACAGTGAATACTTAAATGGTTGTTTACTTTCTAACTTTCGGTATTTTTTAAAAATCATTAACCATTCTCTGGAAGGGAGAACCACTAACGCAAGCGGGCATCATTGCTGAGACAGGGTCTGATCTTCAGAGCGTCATTATTCTGTCTACTTTATGTAGGTGAATTGCCTCTTTATCATGGAGGCTAATCCTGTTATCATAAAGATCAGACTAGATCTGTTCCAATGTATCAGCTAATGCCTCTAGTGTGTAGAGTAAAAATCGGACGAACTTTGGCGGAGCGCTTACCGTGACCGGCATGCGTTCACCTGCTATTTTCGGTGCTAGAACAAAATGACAAACTCATCGTGGCGAAAAACAGTGCGTCGTTTTTATGGAATCTGAACAAATATCCACTATATATTACCACTTCATATTTAATATGTTCTATGGGATGAACCTTCACTATGATTGAAAAACTCGTTTTCTGACCGTAATTCAGTTATTACCAATTATTGCCAGCTTGCATGCGGCTTTTGAAAAATGCGTGGAGGAACTCTAGAAGGCAAATCAAAAAATACTCAGTACTTTTTGCTCTGCATTTTTGGAACTTTTATCCCACACATTTAAATCAGCCTTAAATTCAATTCTGCTGAAATTTTTTGTACGCATTGTATTTGACGACTTACGTCTACCAATATTGCTTGATACATGGGAACTGTTAAAAAAGATCCCGGCAGATTAGATGGTTTATATCTTGAATTAAAAATAGCATCGCAGTGAATGAACGTTATGTTAAATAATCACGACCGTTGGGAATGACACTTCTAGCATATGCAAATCACTTTGTTTAGAAACACCCGTAGAAACAACTAAGAACACTATATCAGTATACAGATATATCTATGGTGGGGTATCTAAATCCGGACAAATTTTGTTGGATTCTTGATTATAGCAAGTATCCATTTATCCGCTATTCTTGATACTAGCAGACTTTTGTTTTTTCTAAAATAAAACCGCCATGATGGAAAATTGTGCGTCATTTTCGCAGTTTAAACGGAGATCAGTTATTCCCGCGAAACAATTTCCGTAAAGCAAGGCGGAAAGTCCTCAATAAAGTTTAGATTTGAACAAGTTTAAATTCATTAAAACTGTGTAAACTATACCTGATAATATTTTCTTGGTTTTTTGTACATGAGACAAGCGATTTGTATAAGTAAAGCAAAGGTATAATTAAAGAAGTAGTTTACGTGGTACAGTGGTGACGTGTTTGTATACAGAATTCAAAAATACGTAATGGTTCACGTTCGAACAAGAACGCGAACGCACCTCGTTTCGTGCTAGAAGCCAGCCGTCTGGAGTAATGGTTAACGGCAGTATCGGGCATAATACTTTTACAGTACCTTCTGCCTTTCATAAAAGAATTTCTATGATACGTTATTTGTTATAGGCTACCCGGTCAGATCTTTTCCTCTGCAAAATTCGAAAGCCCGTTAAGTTCAGGTTTACTCTGTGAATCGCATCGCCGAATTAATGAAATCATTTTAATTCGACCTGAACGGTCTACGATTTGTCTGCCATCAGAGCACGTCAACATGACAAAATAGATCCTTATCTAACTCCGCTGCTTGCACAAATAAAAGTCGCAAGATTTCATTGTTTGGGATCGGCATGTATGTGTAGGCTCAAAATACCATGATCTGTACTCACTCTGGCACACGGTCCCAACGGAACCGTGAAATGATCTGTTTACGCGAATGTATAGTATCGAGATATATTAAATAAAATGTTTGAAATTACATAAAAATACTGTTGAAATTGAAAATCAAAACAAAAGTAAAATGTACTCTATACTCATTCAACTCGCAGGGAAAGTACCATAACACCTTGCCCAATACTACGCATGATTTTTAAAATGATGAGAGTCGTCAGTAATTCGTTGTATGCGGTGTGGCACCTAATATACGTTTAGCCTATCAGAGCATTAGAAACATCGTTCATCTACGAGAACAAGCTTAAGTTCACTTGCTATTAAAGATATTGTAGACAACAAACTTTCCCTCTCTTGCGGTTACTTTCTACAGCGAAATGCTGGTAGATTTCAACCTCAGTAAGACTGGGTTCGAACGTTTCGGCGCTTTGCTAGTTAGGAGTTGTATAAATTATGTTTAACGGTTTTTGTTCCTAACAAAAATCATTTAGGCGATCCTGGTAGTAACGGCAACGGCAGTGTCCTACATTCTGATTAATGTTGTGCATGAGTGGAACTGTGTTTCTGTGCCAGTTTCGAAAGTTCCTACTATCTGAAGTCCGTTCATAACTGTCGACCGCATAAGATTCACCATAATTATGTCGAGCTCACGATCTACAGGGAAATTACGGGACTCCGGGGGAGAATGGACAGCTTCAGAGTCAATGTCAGTAGCTGATCTTCGGAAAAAAGTAAAATCACTTATGGACAAATTACAGTTTCACAGCGCCTTATTTTGGGCGGACAAATTGGTAAGTATATGCGGAACAATCTAACTCAATTAAGAATATAATTTACAAGGTCAGGACATTTAGAACGTCTCTTCAGCACGCCAATGTGTGTATTGTACTCAGTGACTAAATTTGTAGTACTTTATCAACTCGTTCATTTCAAAATACGAAATATAGTGGGGCACTGTCGATCGATTTAATAGTACTGTTCACAGTAACCTTAAAAAGTATATTAAAGCAGCCATTTTTTTAAAATCTCATTTCTCTAATATATTCCTTATCCTTATACATCGTAGATGATACCCAAAATTATTCGAGAACGAAAAGCGAGTTGAAATATTAAACGCTTTTCGACAGCTACCTTAGTAACATCAATAATATCGAAAATTTTCCTATTCGCCTTTTAAATAGAAGCCCGAATGATTTTAAGGATTTTAAAGGCGTATCTGATTGATAACTTGCGTTTTTAACCTAACTACTGTGCCGGCCGTTCTGGTGCGCCTAAATATATGTGTACATACAGAGTTGATATGACTTAAATCCCGGTTTTTTTTGGGCATAAGAATAAATATTTATTATTGTTATTATTCTAATAAGAATCTATTATTTAGGCTCCACAATGTTTGGTAGTTGACTTGTTCGCTAGAATATCGATTCATCAAACGGACGGAGCGAGACAAGATCATCTGTGAGGGCGCTCGCAAAAGCTTTCTGTTGAATTGTTTTTCTGACGTCGGCGTTACTTGGATGAAGACCATTTCATCTCAGTGCGCCAGAACGTGGTTGAGCGTGGATAAGCATTTCCGTGCAACACTCGACCTCTAGCTCGAATTTAGCACCTGTACTCGGAAAGATCCATTTGGTGACGTATTAGGGGCCCTAACCTTCCGGGTGCGTAATGCAAGGTCATTGGGGTTGTTATAAATCGAAATTTCGGATAGGCCAATTATTCTAGGGTTATTCTGAAGTTCGGCGGTCTGCAGAAGGACTGGGAATGCCTAGATAAGCTTACTAACGGGGGCTGGAAACGAAAAAACAATGCTGGGCATATGTTGGCGCCTAACATCTAAGATTTCGGATATAGTTGATTTGCATTAGAAGGAACGCTAAAGTTTCCAATGCCTATACAAATGGTGAATATCTGGGCTCCTGATACAGGGCCATATCTGGATATCCTTCTGGTCGTGGTAATTTCGCGCTTGCGGCAAAGACATTATCAGGTTTACTAGAAGTCAAGGAAAAGTTGTTGAGCTCATGGCGCCAACTCGCGCTGCGATTGTGCTCAAATCATAAATATCGCTAAAACTGCAACTGGGAAATCTAAAATAAACTATGATGAATAGGCCAATAATTACATGAATGATTTACATGAACTATTATAACAATAGTAATAACTAATTCCTCGAGTTACTAAGTGCGCCTAACCTAATTAATATATTCGCTATTGCAGTACCAAGAGTAATTTTGTGTTCATTAAAAATCATTACTATCATTGTTTAATCTCATTACAAGAGTTTCTAGTAATATAATTATAAAATATTATTATATTTAGCATATAATGAACAACGTTTATTTTCGTTGTATCATCAACGTTAATTACAATTATTTTTTATTGCTCTTGTTTTTCAGGTAACGCTAAGTAAGGATAAACCATCAGATGTATATCTTTTGGCGTCCTGCCTTTTTCATGGGCGACAGTTCCATCGTGCAGCTGAGGTAGTAAAAAGACGTGGCTACCACTTCTCGCACCTCCAGTGCCGATTCATAGCTGCCCTTGCTTATCTCGAGAGTCGGGAATTCGACCTCGCGATGGAGCTCGTTGATCTGGCGCCGATAAAAAGCGACGATACCGAAACTCTTGCAGCCCTTGAAGTTGTTAAGGGGCGCCTTTTTGAGACGCTGGATGACTCTCAGAATGCCGCTGCTTGCTACAAAACAGCTCTTACATTAGACAATTGTAACCAGGAAGCTCTGCACTTACTTGTCAATCACCATATGCTGAACAAAGAAGAAGAAAACGAGGTATTAGCACTCGTTAGCCGAAACGAATTTACACAGACCTTATACTCGTCGCTATTAAAGAAGTATGATGAACCTGATGAGCCTCGGCCGTTAGCCTTAAGAGGGCTGGAAAACAACGTCGACTTGCTAACAAATCGAGCTGAAAAACTCTTTTATAATTGCGACTACCGTCGTTGCCACGAACTTGTAAACGAAATTCTTGAACGCGACCCATTCTGTCCGGAAGCTCTTGAAATTCAAATTGCTTGTTTGATGGAATTGAATAAGGCATGCCAATTGTACATACTTGCTCATAGACTGATCGATACCTATCCTGAAAACGTACTCTCGTGGTATGCCGTTGGATGTTATTATTATCTTATAAGAAAAGCTGCTGACGCTAGGAAGTATCTCGAAAAAGCAACTACCTTGAAAGCAGCTTTTGGCCCAGCGTGGCTGCTATACGGACATGCGTACGCTGTCGAAAACGAACACGACCAGGCTATGGCGGCGTACTTTAAGGCGAACCACCTTATGCCTGGAAACCATTTACCAACACTCTACGTTGGTCTGGAATATCAACACCAAGCAAGCAACAAATTGGCCGTGCGATTTTTCGAACAAGCCCGGTGTATCGCTCCGCGGGACCCATTCGTAATCCACGAACTCGGCGTTGCTGCGTACGAGAGCGGCGAACACGAAAAAGCTCGGACCCTGTTCGAAGAAGCCTTAACTATTATACAAAAGGCGCATCATTCAGCGTTGCCTGACAAATGGGAACCATTGCTTAACAATCTCGGCCACGTCTATCGTAAGTTGCGGCGGCTCGATCAAGCCATAGGCTTTTACCAACAAGCGTTAGTTCTTAATCCATTTTGCCCGTCGACACTGGCAAATCTTGGTTTTGCTTATTCACTTCAAGCGGACTGGGATAGAGCGGTCGATCATTTTCATCAGGCGCTTTCACAGAACCGTGATGATACGTTTTCCACGACGATGTTGCAGAACATTCTTGAAATGATGCTTAGCGAAAAGAATCTCGAAGACACTGACGTGATGCCACCGTACAAAGATGAGGATGGCGCAATTGCGAAAGTTGATATCCAGGAAGTTAGTATGGAGTGACTGTGTTAATAACTAGCATTCATTCACTTGTACATATATACACAGAGACATACACATCCTCAGTCAATAATGACTAATTTATATTTAAAATAATAGGGACAGTAAGCAACTAGAAATAGAACACATGTTACACTTTAGTTTGGATAAAGTTTATTTACATAGTCAAAGACATTGTCTTTCTTCGTAGATTACAATTAATCGGTTTTACATTTGAGTTCTCGACACACGTTCGCTTTTGTAAATTGTAGCAACACCTAGTTGGATGGCGGCGTTACGTGTGGCTCTGGAAGTTTTTGTAAATGGTGACGGGCTTTAACTGGCCTAGGTTAGCTTATCTGCCAGCAGCTGCTCGTACCACTGAATAGCTTGCAATCTAATGGCTTGATTCTCGTTATCTAGTTAGTTGACGCTAATCTAAATATAGATCTTGTTCACTTTTTCGTTCGGTAGCCCATTGTCGCCGGCAGCAGCGACGGTGATGAATGCTAAAGCAGAATGCTTCATCCCTTTTATAGGGTACAAGTGCTTATAAAGCAGAAGAAAGACGTTATTCATACAAATGAAAACTCCCATTAAACAACTATTCTCGGAAGCGGTTCACAAGCGTGATAACTGTACAATAGACAACTCTTAGCAGCTGGTTTTTAGGCAGGGCTTGCTCAATGACTAGCCATCGATTTAACCTCCTGTTTCTTTTTGTAGTGCGCCCAAACGGCGTGGTAGAACACGTCTGTTTCACAGTAGGCGGTGTAAACAAGAAATATAACAAGTGCCTGCAAAAATAAAGAACGGGTGGATGTTTATTACTATAGGTTAAATTAGTCGCATGCAGATAAAAAAATATTCAGTACGAAAGTCCATAAATAGATTTGTGATGTCCCGGTTACTCGTGTCACTTTGTTGGTGACTTTTTAAGATGTTACCGAATAAGCCTGAATTCCGTAAATCGAATAAATTAACCTAATTTACGTTCGACACCAATTACAATTATTCTATATAGTCTTAGATACTTTTATGTGATTCATTGATGTATCTCTTAGAAAATTATTATTAAATGTCGCAAATACGTATCGATCACTAATAAGTCAATAGGACTTTAATCGTTTCGGTCGACAACCAGGTATATCGATCAGTATAAACGAAGCTGTGTACGATTATTCTCGTGGGTGACTGCGACTGCATAAAGCCTAAAATATACAACGAGACAGTCTATGCTTGTTAAAAACATGGAAGCCCATATCTTGCCAAGAACATATATATGCATTCGGGCACTTACGAGCAGAACGGCTGTTGTCGCTTGAAGGTTTCCGGTTGGTTCCTGCACATAGCCACTTGTTGTTATACCATGAATGAAAACCGCTACAGCAACAAGTACTGTTCTTCGCAACAGACCACGCTGAAGTGTTGACAAAGTTGACATTAAGCTGCCTTTGTCCTGTTCCTCAGAGGCAATACTAATTTCGAAATGTAGAAGTCCATAGACCAACACAGTCACTGTTGTCAACAGTGTAAACGCTGCTGACGGGACGCTCACTTGAGCTTCCAGCGTGCCCCAATACCTGAAGAAATATAGATCAATTGCAAATATCTTTAGCAAACGAGCAGACGTTCACTTTTTAGCAGTTTAATAGAAAGCTTGCTCAATGTTTGTGAATCTGTACCTAAATCAATCAAATAAATTGTTGAGTATCATCTAGTTTTTAATGGAACCATTTCAATACTTGTTTTTTTTTTAAAAGAAAATGTTAAAGTTTAAGAAATGGTTATTGTCCAATAGGCCGTATATCTAATCTCGTTGTTGAATTTTATAAATTCCGTTCGAATTCAGTTTTTTTTTCCGATTAAATATGTTAAGTTATGGACTTTTTATTTCAATGTACGATATTCCAGCGCCAACCACTCTTGAAGAATAAAATACACACTGAACAGAAATGACCGTGTATAATTCCGTATAGTACGACACTTTAAGCAAAAATTTGAATTCCATCTATTAGAGAGGCTTCAGCCTACACCATAGTTTACTACAGCGTATACAATCTAGTGAAACGATGTCGCTAACTAAAATTGTTTTGTCGGAAGTTAGTTTGATTGACTTATTGGGTATAACTTACGAGTCACTGTCGGTGTCCCAGATCTTCTGGATGCCATAGGCAAATCCGAGGAGAATGGCAGCACTAAGCCAGGGTGAAGCCACAGCGCGGCTAATATCTCCCTTTAGGTCGCCGCCTCCTCGAAGAAATTTCTTGTCGAACAGTTCTGCGTACACAGACAGAAGCACCACGACCTGTAGGCCGAGTATTACGAGCAGCAGGTACTGGCGCAGAAGCATCAAGTTAGGCTTGATGTAGGCCCACTGGAAAACCAAGTGTATTATGAACACATATACAAACAATAATACTGTAATTATTAAGGTTTGTTTTACGTTTTAAGACAAATACGCATGAAATACTTGACTAATGTACTTCCGCAGTTATTACAAGGCTATTAAAGTCAAGACTTAGTAGACATGAAAAAATCTACTACACATCGTTTGATCGACAAAGAGGAGGGCACGAAGATAATGTAGTTATGATATCCAACGCGTACTAGCTTATAACAGCATTTACCTGATCAACAAGCGGTAATGACTCGACAAGGAGTGCGCTGAACATGGCAAGCAGCGCCATACACACGTTCCACTTAACACATTTAATAAGATTCCAGCAACTGTATAAAACAGGGATGAGAAGATATCGTTAGTTGTACCGAATTTTATTTCGAAGAAAAACCAGTTTCAGCTAAAGTTAGGAAATAGATTTGGATTTACCGGCCCATCGTGGCCTCCCATTCCTCGGAATAGGACCGATAGCAATTATAAAAGGATCTATGTCGTCCACTGACCTCGTCGTGCACGTAACGGAGAGCGCGCACAAAAAGGATAAGAAGAGACCTCCTGAACTACACACGAGTTGCAGTAATCGCCGATTTTTACTTGGTAATCGGACTGTGACGGGAACGGGACCTTCGTAAAGTGCCACCATGGTTGCTTGGCGATGGCGGGGTATCCCGAGGGCGCATGAGAACTCATTTGGACCGACCCGATTCAGTTCGGCACGAGCAAATGACACTTCGCTTCCGTCCAAAATCAAGGCACACGTTAACGTTGAGTTCATTGTCTGTCATAAACACAAAACCACATGTACTATTCTAATAAATAGGTGAATATTATAGTACTAGTAATTTGAGTCAATTTCACTACATTCTATAAATTTCCAGTAACAAATACAAACCAGACACACTGCCAGAATTAGTGGAAATCTTCTTCTTGATACGCTCACGGCGAGATTGGTGGGATTCACACAATACGCATTACACTTTTGAAAAGAAATATTGAAAGAAAACTTTAGAGACAGGCTTAAAAGTAGTTACTAACCGGCATTATTCGGAAGTTGACGTGAAGCTCGTCCCGATCACAAAAATGGACTGAACCGTTTTTAAACTTCGTAGCAGCTCTAAAGTTCACCATTTTGGACCGTAAACTACGATTACCTTGATTCTGTAGCCAATCGAGGCGGGACAGGTAGTCTTGGGTAAGTGACTTCGGAACCCAAAGGCTCAGTATTGTTTTGTCACCGTCTGAAACAGCGGCAATATCTATCGGTAATGTCATTAATGAAAAAAAAAACCGTCCGCAAATTCATCAAGAACTACTACTATTTTTCTAGACCTAAGTAGTTTGTCTTGTTTTTCATCGGCACAGAACACATTGAAGAATCCACTATTATTTTTGTAAGTATGTGTAACACCGGAAGTCAGTTCTGCATAAAACGTAACAAGATGCTGTGTCGTAGCAGTGTTAGAACAAATATTATTTACGGGACAATCCTTCAGTAGTTTATATCCCTACTCAATCTTAGTTTATATCTATTCTAATATCTAATTTTCATTGTCTGAAATAATAAGAGCTTACCAGACTCTTCCTTCGATCGCACGAGATATCCAGCGACACCCATTTCATCCAGGCTTGCTTCATATACAGCTACGTTACCTTCTGAAGGTACGATGACTTTAAAGACATGGGCGTAGATATCTATAAAACGATACGAAATTATAGTCTCAATTACATATTTTTTCCTTACATATATTTCTTACGAGAAACATCATTAGGTTAACATAAATCTACGAGATCTGTGCATTTACTACTTACCAAATAACTTATGACTGTATTTAAACTCGGCATCGGCCGGCTGATCATCGAGAGAGCTTATAACAAACTGCGGAATGATTTCGTTCAGCTTCGCGTAAAAACGTTCATCCAAGACGGAATTAGCTAAAAGATGGAAATAAGAGATGTCATAATATAGGTAGGGCAAATCGTTCCTTCGTCGTATAGCTCGTAATGCTTTATAATAAATAGGCAGCCTTTTTAAATCTTACGCAAACATTGAGGTTGTATTAACGCTTACCAACGCTGAAAGTCATCGCAATACAATCTAGGAATAACTGTAATGCTTCTTTCCTGTCAAACCGTTCTGGGTGTCCCGGTCGAAGGCCCTCTTCATAATCGAGAATTTCATGAAGAGTCTCCATGATGTGGTTGCCCTCTCCCGGGAGAAGAGCACCACGCCGTCCTTCGATATAGCGTTGAAGCGAACGCAAGGCACCCACGGCTGTTGTTAATTGATAGCCTCGGGCCAACGCTAGAACCTATTAGTAAAGGAAACATTAAAGGGGTTAGAGTTTGCTTCAGAAAGAAATCGCTTATTATTACACTAAAACAGTTACAAGCATTACTTAAACAAAGCAAGAGTCGTAAGTTTACCTGCTTTCGTATATTGTAGATTTCATCATAAGCGCACTCAGAAAAGTCCGGCATTTCCCATCGAGGTGTGTCGAAGCCTTCCTGCATAAAACATCGTCTACGAGCATCACCTTTTGCCGGGCCCCAAGGCAAGTGGCATGCTTGCACATCGTGTCCACCCAACACAGTTCTGTTCCACAAAATCCCCATATATTCCTCCATAGGGCAGTACTGGGATGAATCTACATAACAAAAGACATATAAGAGGATACAGAACTTGAATTGTATTAAAATAGTCACTTAGTGGAACTAACCACTTTTCTATGAACTACTATTTGTAGTTCACATACCTATATACTAATTAAATTACTTATAAACGACGTATTCAGAGCAGTGTCGTTCTAAAAATCAGGTTCGACAAAGGCTCTAGTTCATGACTGGATAATCTAATATGTCATTGACATAGTACTCTACAAACAACAAGTTAATAGTACAAGAACGTGCACAAAGGTAGCCCTAATTTAATGCTAGAAGTAATCAAGTTAGAAACGGGAACCGATTCCAAATGACAATTGCCTGCAGTGGATGACTTACTTTTATAAACACCCGCTAAAACGCTACGCTATAATTTAAATAGATTCTACGGAAATTCTGTTTAGGGCACACGCTGAAACAGATGCGATTGGATAATAGATAACACTTACTGTCGTATGGGAAGACATGCGCGTAAACCGCAGTGGTAGTGCCCGAAGAATCCTCAATCTGGCATTGATATTCCGCATATGACGAGACCGCCGGAATCACAAGTCTAGAATAGGCTGGATAGAGGAGTTCGATGTATTCGGGATCGGAAAGGTGACCTTTAGGGGGTATTTGGACCCATTTCTTACGCAGATGAGATTCACCGACGCTGCCTGAACGTCCACGAAGTACGGATTCATCACGAATGGTGTTCTTAAACCAACGATACTGCACTTTTTCACTACAATTTATTGCACAAAAGATTACTCGTTATAAAGAAAACATATTTAACCTATATACATTCAAAATCTACCGGTTTACTATATTGAAATATTAATACAATTGCGCCTGTAAAGCGACTGTATTTTTTAATTAATTATAAATATTTCGGTATCTTTCCATTCTTCGCAACGATAACTTTATATGACAAATACGCTACCAGCATATCACTCGAACTCAAGGCCAAGAGACATCATTAAAACACTGGAAAGATGTGACCTTTCTTATTAAATAAAAATTATGTTATGTGTATCCTAGCCTTGTCTTCCTTGTCCTCAAATCAGTGTTGATTTACACTCATAGACTCAATCATACTAAATTAGAAGTAAATCTCTTTCTTTATTTCTCACAGTCTGTGCCGGAATTAGAATAAAACATACGCTTACATTACACGAAGTGTGCAGGTTAGTTCGTGGCTTCGGCCAACCTGGACGCTTTGCGCCAAGGGCGTTACATGACCACCAGGAACCATCTTGATAAGCATTTGCAGACTTCGCTTACGAACTTCGTTTCCATGTCGAACTTCACAAGTAAAGCGACCTTTGTCAATGTATTGCACTCGGTCAAGGCCCAGATAAGACGTGTAAACACCAGAAGGAGTGCGCTGACCGCTCTCAAGCCACAAATTTCCAGGGCAGACGGATGGATTTATTAAGGCATTATCCTATATTAAATGAGAATTTTCGTTGTTAATAAAAGCAGTCAGCCTATGTTGATGGGAGAAAACACGCTATTAGTACTAAAGTAACCTAAATAATATTATGTTAAGCTATCGAGCTGAAATACAGGTGCAAGCCTTGCGCGTGTAAAATTTACCTCGTAAACCACAATTTGAAGAAAATGTTTCGAGTTTTACGACCCGCGTTGCAGTCAAACGCGAAAGCCTCCAGCGACAAAAAGAAGCGCATCTACGCCCGGGCTCGAATCTAGCCCACCTTATTTAGCTTTAGCATTAACAGTGAAGTATACCATTAATGCACTATTACGGGGTTGAAAATTTAGTAACTTTAGTAAAAAAATACTGATAGAACCTTTAATTTCAAGTTACATACCATAACAACACAAAACCTTACCTTATACCAATGCACTTTGAAGCCTTCAGGAGCTCGGAACTCGCAGGATAATACGACTGGTTCAATTCCTTCGCGAACGGGCAATAGTTTGTTTGAAACAAGAGCGGTTATAACTAAATCATCTTCCTGAAATGGCTCACTCTGAAGCGAACCGCCTAACTTGTACGATTGACCGATGCGGGATAATGCCTGCTTTACTTCAGCTGCTTGTTTCCTGACCACTTGCAACTGAAACCGCGTGGTGATGTCCTTCTCGTCCGAAGTCTTCAGGACAGTTACATTTAGCACGTGCGGCATTCTCAAAAGCTCATCTAAAATGGTGTCGAGGAGTACCAAGGGATTAAGGGAGGCACAGACATCTAAAAGTATGACTGGTAGTATCTTATTCTACAGTGCCTCATTAGATATGTACATCAAAGGTAACAACTCGTGGTTAGCCATAACATAATTTTTAAATTTATATAAAATTATCAAAGAAGCGAAAAGTCTGTTTATGAAATATGAAAAATGTACAATAAATACTAAGTAATCATGGATGAAATAAATTTTTTTTTACTGTACAAGGTTAAAATAATGCTTACCTCTAGCCATGTCGACATTCATAGTTCCTTTGATATGCCATTGAAGCCAGACGAAATCCACTAGTTCACAGTTACCGTTAGTACCATTATCGCTAAATCGATAACCGGATTCGCAACTGCAGCCTTTTAATTTATTACCAGCCATACATTCACAGCGAGTATTATTTTGCTTATTAAATGCACACGCGCTCCTTTGATCGATAGGACAGTTTTTCGCTTCACAGGGATCTTCCTCTAGTCGGATATCGCACACTTTTCCTGAAGTACATTTCGAAACAATTTCACATGGCGTTTTGTCATATGGATGTGTTGAACGAAGCGGTGCTGCTACTTTGCTTGTTTTTTTCACTATTTTCCCTAATGTGATTAAAGGCTGATGCTTAAAGTCGCAGTTTTAAAGGACTTTAAAGGAAGGAATTCAGGAAAAAAAAGAAAAAAAGGAAAAAATTAGGAAAGGAAAAGGAAAAAAATAGGAAAGGAAAAAAGGAAAAAAAGAAAGGAAATTAAGGGAAGGAATCCAAGCTTTAAGAACAAATTATTATTGGTGAGGACCTTTTACCTTGATTAGTCGAATATTTTTCGACAAGCATATTCGAATGGCAAAGTCGCAACATCCGCACTGTGATTTCTTTATCATTTAACTGTTCAAACCATTCCAGTGTTGGCTTTACCCTCATAAAGGCCACATAAAGTTACGTTGTAATAACTTACCAGTGAAGTTTTTAGGACAGAGGCAGACCGACGTGGAGCCTCCAATATGATGCTCGCACCCACCACCATTACAACGGTTTTTCTCAGGACTACACCGCTTGGAATATTGACAGTTGGGTCCCCGGAAGCCATTAAAGCAGCGGCACTCATATGAGGTGAAGTTCGCATTTGCCAGACACCAGCCGTTAAATCTACAAAAGAGATCGACCGAACAAGTAAAATAATGTTCTACGAACTAGCGAGAGCTTATCTAAGCATTCACGAATTCCTTGCCGTTTTTCCCGATCACGTATTTGACTTAGAACTGCTTTCTGCGTATACGGACGCACATTAAATTCCGATAATAATTGTCTCTTTTTTTTTGCTGGTCTAAGTCTGCCTGTTTACTTCGGTATAGTCAAGGCTCAGTTTATGATTTCAAATTAAACGTAGGATCGCCGGAAAAGCTAAGATATACCTTGTAAATCATTAACATCACACATACATTTTAATAATGTGCGTAAAAGGACCTAGTCTCAAAATATAGACTAGAAGGATTTAATCGGTGGCAAAGCTACTAACGATACAGCTGTATTCTGAGTTAGGCTAATCCACAAACACAGGGTGCTAATCTACAAACACAAGAATATAAACACTGTGTCTTTCTGCGTGCTCGTTGTACATGCTTACTAAATAAATAATACTCACTCACCTGCAGTGATCAAGAATACACACATCGTGTTCAAGTTCCTTATCTCCTGGTTGACTGTAATTTAGCCGGGTAGGCTGTGAATCCGGAATGACCTCATAAGTGATATTGAAACCGTGCACGTCCATAAGTTCATATAAAACGCGCAGATTGACACCCGGTATCCGATCGATATCGACCGAAATCACAACAAATTGAGACTGGATTTCCAATTCCGTTGGCCGATCGGTTGCCACAGGTTGGTACGCCACCGCTCGACCAGAGTTTACCGGTGACTCAAGACTGAGATTAAATATTGACAGTATTCAATACAGTTATTCACTTTGTCCAATTAAAATTATTTTCATTCGATAGCGGAAACAGGATGTAGAATTTATCAGGAAACTGTAGTTCAACAGTTGACGAAAACAGTATTTTAACTTCTTCTTTTTGAGCCATGAAATAAGCTAAACTATCTCAAAGGGAAATCATGAACGTGGCTTGCACATTGTTGTTATTGCTTTTTGTTATGTCCTATATATTCAACGATAAAAAAAAAATTCGCGCTGTCACAATTACACGTTGCACAATTACACAGTAGTATGTAGAATAATGCATTTACCTCAGATGATGAGACGTCAGTACCAAATTACGAAGGCAAATATTTTATTACTTATTAGTATTATCTAAGCTTCTAATTCTTAGGGTTGATACTCGCAAACAATTAAGCATTATCAACATTTTTACTCATACCCAGCAAACTTGTCATATGTCTCAATGGTTACGCCTGACAAAAGGTAGAATTGAGTGAAATAAATGACGGTCTTTTGCTGCCCTGCAGAAGTATCTGGTCTGCGCTTGATGACGTAGCACAGTTTTAAGGGCAATTCATATGGCCCGGGAAAGTTTGGCGTTGTGAGAACTCCTCGAGGCTCGGTAAACCACGTGCAGTTTATCGAGTCTCCGGCATCCACTAGTGATATGCAGGCTAACAGCATCACTGCACATGATACAACGAGCCCAACTGAAAAACAGATGGAATGATAATTTTTTTCATCACATGTGTTTTATAGTATATGTCGATGTTGAAAAAATATTAAAGATGTATCAAAGTTGTTGAAGGGTATCGGCTTACGGCATAAATTAATAACTGCAAATTAACCAGCTCCCGTACTTAAAAGCATCCAAGGCATCCTAGAAGGAAAATCCATCTAGATATTTAAATAGTATGATCGAAAAAAGCATTAATCTCTGCAGTCACTTTTAGGATCAGTAACTTCCAAATAACCGTAGTAAATTAACATGATAGTGTATTAGATACTCATAAGGTCGATATCACACCCTTTACTAAAACTTCCACTGATGACATTGTTATCAGCTGAAACCATACTTGCATTTTACGGTGTTAGAATTACTGGGGCGCGACCTGCTTGTTTTTTTCTGAGTCCGTTTGAGTATTTACCTGCATGACGAAGACGACGAGATGACCCCGCGTAGAATTAACACACGATAGCTTAAATAAATTAGACCCATGAGCAAACAAACCATCTTGATACAAACCAAATTGTCCAAACAGTTCTTCAGACATAACAGTAATAGTACCACATTAAGCTTCGCCAAACCAGGCGGGTGCCTTTATGCCCAACGGGCAAAGCGCTAATATCATTTGCACTTAAAACTTACTAGTTCTCGTCCAGCAAAAAGCCGTGAGCTGCATTGTCGATAATTTCTTCCCGCACCTGACTCTTGAAATTGTTAAATATTTCCGTTTATTTAGCATCTTTAAAAGTGGACAATGATTTCAACTATTTAAAGATCTAGTCAATTCTACAATGCTAGATGCGTTTGTAAATTTGTCGTCGTATTCAGGCTCCCAGAATGAATGTCTAAAAGGTAAACAAAAGTACATTTTCTACGTCTACTCCCTTTAACTCTTTACCTTGGTGGAAATACTGGCGAAGAATTGTGGGTATTTATGCATATAGAACGAAGACTCTATAACTGACAGGAATGCTCGAAGAAGTTTATCAGGACTAAAAAGGCATTTCACACTGGGTAATGTTTGGAAACAACATGACGGTTAACAAGCATACATATATATGGCCCAGTTGCATCAAGTAAACGGCACTATAGGACAGAAAGAACCCGATAAACGACGCAATATCACCGCTTTCCTTTTTCACATCAGGTCACGCAGGGCGCAAGCAGTTAAAACCGCCGCGTTAATGTTTGAACGGAAAGTTTCTTTTCACCCGTTACATTCTCCAGGTCGAATTGCATTGACAGAGGATTATCTTTGCTCATTACTGGCAAATGAAACTCTATTATGCGACGCTCAAATGACGAGACTGGATAAGTTTCTCAACAGCACATTTGGCTGAATTTGTGCCCTGAAAGAATAAGCAAATTGACTAAAGGATGAAATAAGGCCGAAAAAAAAGTAATGGCGGAAGCATAATAACTTGCGCTCGAATTCGAGTAAAACGTTGCGTTGTCTGTTAGGTCAATGGACTGCCCTCATGTTACAACTTCCGTAACTTGTAAGAATTCCGTTTGTTTATTGAATAATAGCTGTTTATTTTAACATCTTGCCTCTTTTGTGAAAAAAACTTAAACACCTGGGCCTATAAAGTATTTGTTCGTGCAATAATTATACGTTTTTAACGATCGATGACTACGATGAATGTTTTGCTTGTCGAGAATCTACTGACCGATTCATAAGTACTTCCACACTAGCAAAAATGCATACCTTTCGTTTCACATGTACGGCAAAAAATACTCAAACCATACTTGGTTGTATGTATTCATTTAATGTACGTTAAGTATTCAGACCACAATTTGCAAACAAAATTCTATGAGTCCCTTATAATAGTACAGTCTTAAGCGCCAGGAATACTAAGCAAAAGGGTTTACGTAGGTCCACACTATTTGCACTTAATGTATCCGAAATTTTTATTTTTAATTAATTTATCACAACACAATTTATCCGAAATCCGCAAACAGTATATATTAAAGACACAATTTAGAAGGCACGCGGTAAAAGATTTTTATGTCCTATTTTTTTACACACACTTATTAAACCCGAAAAAATCAATAAATTTGCAATAGCTTTTTGCGTTTTTTCCAGCTAGACCGGTATACAACTAATAATGAAGTTCAGTAACTCTACTTAATTACTCTTATCGGTTTCACCAAAAAGATGGTGTAACTAGTTACTTGTAGCGATTATACGGACTCTTTCCTCAAATATACCAACTTGTAAAAGCAAAGTACTGTAACTGATGAACCAACCGATACGCGCTGAATGCTATATATACATAGGAGGGTTCAGTATTATACTTAGTCCATCGCAGTTTTAGAGTCGCGTTCTTTAAGAAACGGTTACAAGGTTTAGAAACGATAATTTAGCCATTCTGATTTATATACTACAAATAAATGGGCATATAGTAAACGCGAGAGCCTACCTGAAGAACAGTTTTGTCGTCCTTCCTTTATGACCTTTAGTTTTTTTTGATCGTATGACATCCTCATTTGTAAGTTCTCACAGTTTTTGTCGTTTTTACACTGTAGTCCAATATATTTTCGTAACACCGAAATCCATGTTATAGTTTTACATGAATGCGCGGTCTGCAGAAATAGTACATTCGGAATTGGAGCGCATCATGAACAAATCGCTTCATTGTCAAGTTGAAACTCGTGTTAAGGTATACAGAACATTTAACATACACACGCATAGCAAAGCAGGTGTCTTCGTTTCTGCTATATTTCTGTCGCTGTGAATGAAATTATTCGTTTTTTTGTTGTGCCGCTTTCTAAATCACTCAAACTGCTCAAAGATTCATCTTTCTGTGATGGTACGTCTTCTTTTGTAGCAAAATTCCCCTACAACCATCTATTTACTCTTGTTCGTTTGCAGATGAAGGCTCATAAACAGCCAGGTCTTAATACCCTTTCCCTTTGCATATGAAAGCTCATAACAATAACAATGACAGAAAGGGCTTAGCAGGCGTAATCCGACCCCGTCATACGAACTTCTGATAGTCTGGTTCTACTGCGATCGCCTTCTACTGACAGGCGATAGCCCAATCGATTCGTTGTCCTGTCGATTGAATATGGTGGCAAGTGGAAGAAGCAGCAGAATCAGGCAACACCAAAAGAAATAGAGGAGAGTCGCTTGCAGGACATGTTTTTGCTAGTACAAAAAAAGCTAAAAGATAAAGCGACAGAGAATAGGTTGTTGCTTCGTTCCAAAAACCATGCGTGTCTGAAACATGCAGTTACGTCGTTGTCAGATTTGGGTAAATCCGTACTACGCAACCGTGCTATCGTCTGCTATTATGTCGTTTTCTTTTCGAAACTAGCCTAATTTTGAATGAGATAGCTTTTTCTTAGTTGTTACTTAACTCGTTGCAAAAACATGCGCCATAAGATTGCCGATGTTAAATAGAAATAAGAAAAAATCAGACAGTGTTTTTAAGTAGAATTAGTTTTGGAATGCAAAATGTTCAGGAAAGAAGGCTGGGTTCAATGGAACTTAGAGGTTTTAGTTAGTATGCTAATTTACCATTTACCTGCGCAGATGCAGTAAATGACAGTTCATTTATCCGATGAAGCTGCAAAAGTTCAATAATAATTAACTACAAAAAGTACACTGGAAAAAATTTATAACGAGCTGGTATTGAGTATACGACGCACTTGTACAATATAGTCACTGTTTCGGCATTAAAGGACGTAATAACGGCATGATGAATGGTTATAAAAGTTACACAGTTCTTATAGATGAAATGAGAGAGTTTATAAAGTGTCGCAAGTATGAAATTGCTGCATAATGCATTATCGCGCGATGGAACATCAGCACATCGCTGAATCTACGAAACAGGCCTCCCCGTGATTAAATATGATGTCAACACCATTTATCCGGCACACTCGTAGCTATCTACAACCAGATCTGTCCAGAAATTAAAGACAATTCGTGTCGGCAGAACAATTCTCGTTAATGGTATAATTGCTAAGTATTAACAGTGACTTTTTACTTGCCTTAAATAGATAAATACGATAATGGACAAATTTCAGATATGGGTTTATGGCTCGATTGAATAGCTCAAATTTTAGGTGCATGAAGGAACGCTAGACTTCTCAATTATTTAGTTTGCTTCGCAAGCTTCATAGTAAATGCTCGGTTAATATATACCAGAGAGGGCCATATATCATTTATGAGTGATGAAGAGCGTGTCTAGGTTTGCCCGTAAAGAGAAGAGGCCATGTTGTCTGCTACGAGGGAGAGGGTAGCGCAGGCTTTGATCACGGATGTGTGAATCTGCATAATTTCGTGTGCTTATGAGACCGTCATGCGGTGGGTGCATTCGGCAGTTGTGGCGCTGCGTGAGCGTCTGTAAGCGCTGTTGTATGATAGTGAGCGAACGTGAGTCTGTATGAGTAGATCCACTATTCGTACTTTTCTCTCTTGACGCAATTGGTGCTTCTGCCGTCATTGCTGCTGTCACTGCTGATCGGAGGAAACAAGTACAGCAAAGCTACAGCTACTCAGCAAGCAGTCAGAGGACTCGTTCATATATATACACAGACAGAGCGCAAGTGTACCACAGTAGGGGAGCAAGATAATGCGAGCTTTATACTTTTCCTTTTGACTAGTGGTAATTCCATGATAGCCTTTTCTACTTGCCAGTGATACTAGAATTTGGTATGTCTAACTAACTATTCGTGCATATACGTTTTTCTGGCTGGCCGAATCCGTTCTGGCTATGGGTCACTCCGGACTCAGTCACCGCTATCGCCCAATCATAGTAGAACTTCTCATCAAACGCAGAGGGTTCTCAGCAGAGAGAGTCTGAGCTCTTGGCTGCGCTACAAAGGAAAAACCTTCCACCAAACCAGCTCAAAAAAGAGCACTCATCTTGTTTCTTTGTTTTCTTTTCGATGGAGACTGTCGTTGGCTTGCTCTGCCAATCAGCTGTGCGATCAGCTCTGGTACAAATTAGGCCAACATGAAACTAAGTCACAATTATGGCCATCCCAACGTAACTGCGTTTCGCATACCTCGGGAGAACAACGACTGTGTTGTGCGTCATTGTGCTCGATCGGGCTATCGTTGTCAATCTTTCCATTGATTTTTCGCTGTCTAGTGTTGTGCCGCTGCCAATAAGTGCCGATGTGAATCACATTCATCTAGATTTTGTATAAGCAGTATAAATACTGGGGAGTTCTAAGAAAGAAAAAGGGTCCTATATGCCAGTGTCAGTCGTCGTGCGGCCGCTACAGCGACTGCTGCCGTTGCTGGCTGTGGCGGTTGAGTTGGCACCTGCGGCGTCCTGGTTAGGGCCTGACGGTAGGTTGGACTCGATCAAATATGATTGAAATGGGTGAACAGCGGCAAGGCCGCAAGAGGACTATGTTCCCGTCTGAGGGACCGACGGAAGGACGTCAGCAAAATGGGGGACCACTTCTGGCATTAGCCAATGGCACGACGACGACGACGACAGTAACTGCCAATGGAAGAACTTCTACTACATCGTACGCACCACCTGAAGCTGGTCTTATCAATGAGAAGTTACCGAAGGAGTTGTTGCTCAAAATTTTCTCCTTTCTTGATATCGTATCACTGTGCAGGTTTGTGACATTACTATCAATTTCCGCGCAGCATAACTGCGTTTTGTCAGTATTATGTGTTGTTTTTATTTTTTGTTTCGTATCGGTTTTTTATTGCGTAGTAACATAGTTGCTGTTGCATAGCGCTCAACAACAGTCGTCTAGCTAACAATGTTGAAGAAGCTGTAGAGGGTCAGTTGGCAGTCCGGCTACACGAGGCAGTGGGAACTTCGTTTCGGGTTAAACGCACTTTGGAGGATTGCTGGAATTATTATATTTCAGAAACTGGCTAAAACAAAATTACTCATTTTTTCATAACCTCGTTATTTATGATGCTTTGGCATAGAGAACAAACTTCAAGTAGTCAGGTTGTCGGTATGAAATGATTCACTCAGTTCACTCTCGTTCCTTTATCGTTTGACTTCCCGTTGCTGAATATTCTCGGAAGAGCTATAGTGAAAAGTGCCTTAGAGCAAAATAACATAGAGCTTCATAGCAATGTGCGGTCGTCAGCCAGCTGCCCTACAAACACCTACCTGCCAGCGAGCTGGCCGATCTACCTAGCCACCCTGAGCCTGTTGTTAATCAGTTATTAAGCTAACAAAATTTTTTTTTTAGTAAGTGAGTGGATGATGGGTAGTGAGATGGACCGTTAAAACCTAATATCTTCGACTGGGCTATTCCCTTAAACAGTGTAGTTGTTTTTTGCGGAGCGAACAGATGAACGGATGGCACGTAGGAAAGGAAAATGTTGATTGTGCTGATCTTGAAGCTGATGATGGCAACTATCGCGTATGCACCGCCAGTTGTTGCGTAGCGACTGACCCACACATTTCTCTTACACTTGATGAATAATAGAGGCTACTGTCCAGACAGCGTAGGAAGCGATAATAGCGATTAAGTGTAATACAGAAGCCTAATCCGCGTTGCGACGACAACCATATAATACTATATATCAGGGTATAGCAATGATAGTTTCTGGCACATGATTATGTTGTAACTGTGGTAACGCTGGTAGCGATGATCACGTTGGCAAGTGCAACTAACTTATTCAGGTGTGGCATAAAGCAGACTAAGAATTTGTCGTATGCGTGTCTTCATTCTCCCACGTCTGCTAGCTGCACTGTTATAGGTATATTATATGCAGTCGTTGGTTATACATTCATATATAATTCAGAGCAACATGTACAGCGTACTAACTGCTTAACTAGATACGGGTAGTTGACAAACACGCACTCTTATATACCGTCTTCTCATCCCTTTGTCTTGGTCATTTGTCGCAGGAGGTGCTGCTGTTGTTATGACGGTGGTAAAGAGCTGTCGATATTCGTCTTAACTGAAATGATCGAGGCTTTACAACGGTTTTTTGTTGTTAGAATAAAGATTGTAGCGAATTCGACCTGCCAATATTTGGCATGAAATTGGCTTCTAGTGTACAAATATCCGCGCAGCGTCTTCTGGTCGGTCCCTGAATCCCCAAAGTTATATCACGAAAGAGCGCCAGCAGTTCTTTGAAATTTGTTTTACATCGTATAAGAATTACAAAATTAATTCGAAAACTTCCATTAGCATCAATATGACATGTGTTGCTTTAACTGTTTCGCTTGAAAAAGCCCGTTGCGAAAAACTCGTAGATTATGCTACTATTTTATTATGCCGCACATACAAGATTCGAAAAGGTTTTTCCCTTAATAATCCATATTATTATAGCAGTTAATTAGGTCCTTATCCTTCGAACTCCGTAATTGCAGTACATATCAAGGAAGAGCCTCCTTTGTTTTCGGTAATGCTATTAAATGGTTTGATGTCAACGTTTTCGCTGCTGCAGTTGCAACAGTACATGTTAGCTGTCCACGAATACACGATCTCAAAAAAAGACCATCGTAGACACATTTACTTAGTATGTGAGTGAGGATGAATGAGATATTTTTTGACTTGTTAAACTTAAAGCTATTCAGAAAAACGTAACGCTTGGCATTTAACGAGTTCGGTTTAGGTTTGTGTTTTGTAGTAACCGATCTTTATTATTATTAGCTTTTGGCAATACACGGCTCAATGAAGGAACTATATTAAGATGGAGGTGAAACAGAGATTTACGAAGGTTTGCTTTTGGAACCGCATAGGTGTCATTTTTTTTAACTATATTATGCTGTTCTATTTTCTTCTGCTGCATCATGCGGCAATCGTCTTAAAGAAATGCCAGTAATCTCCTCAGTGTCGATAAGAACGAAGCAGTAAAACTCAGCTCATATTAGCAACGTAGGGCACGTTCTATCAAATTGGCAAAGAACTAAGACATTTTCGAGCACTCTGGTCCAATTTAGAGTCTGCTAGGAACCTTGCCTACATATTGTGTTTGCTCAAAATATTAATGAGAATTTACTTTGATATTTTACGCACTGAACGTGTCGACATAATTTCATAGACATAATGTAGAAGAAACTTTTGGATTGGGAGAATTCGATAAGTTTAAGGAAGATTGCTTCTTCTTCTTATTGCTTATTGGGTGTGCCAGCTAAAGATTGAACTGAAGCTTAGTGCCTCCGTTGAATTTTCACACTCACACATTCTACAGAGAAGCTTAAGCTCAGGTTAACAAATAAAATGTTATATAATGATACACATCAGATATACGGTCAAGTAAAAAGAACAAACAAATCTGTAGAAGAAAGAACTGTTGTTATATGGATAAATCAATTGTTCAACTTTGGAGAAATGACAGAGATGATAAGAAGCTTAGCTAGCCATTTAAATAATTAATTCTACCCTTTTGTACAACTGTCTAGAAAATACTACATTTACGGTTACTGGGAATGTCTTACCATGAACGTGTTGCTTTCCAGAGCCTTCTTCATCGACACATAGATTATATCACATAATACATAAACGAGTTATTAAGTATGCTATGACCTTTCTTTCAGATGTGCGCAGGTTTCAAAGGAATGGAATGTCCTGGCTATGGACGGAAGCAATTGGCAAAATATCGACCTATTTAGGTAAGTCCTTAGGACATCGCACATATCTGTCAGTTTTTGCGTATTCAAAGGCTCTTGTTACACTTTATGCGTGCATCGAACAAATATGTAGTGAGCTTAATGGCTATTGTGTTGTGCCGTATACGTGTAGCTTTCAGCGGGACGTAACCTATGACGTTGTCTCGTACATCGCGCAACGGTGTGGGGGTTTTTTACGTCGAATATCGCTGCGGGGATGCCAAAATGTTCCTGATCAAGCACTCTCCGTGTTCGCTCAATATTGTCACAACATCGAGCAGGTCTGTTGTCCCACTTCACTACCAACTGAAAAATATTTTACTCGCCGCTACACAGTACATTGTTACATCTCATTTTAAACAGTAGAAATCTAAATATCTATTACCTGTATTACACTCATTTGCAGCAAATGATGATGTCTTAAAACACACTTTTATTTAGTCAGCCATAATATGCATAAAATATAGCGGAATTATTTGTGAGTTTGGGGCTGAATGATGACGAGGTGTTCGCAAAGAGAAGAAAGCGGAGCGCGATAATATAATTTTAATTTATGCCTCGGCTGCGCCTCAGGTGATGCTGACCAACTGTCACAAGCTGAGTGACGATTCAGTGGTGTCATTATCTATGGCGTGTCGATTTGTCCATTCTTTACACGTGGACTCATGCGTCGAGCTCACCGATCGGTCACTTCGATTTTTCAACCGGCTTCGTGTGATTGACATCTCATGGTGCCGTAAGATCACGGGACAAGGCATCGGTTAGTTTAAGTACCATTGCTTCAACAACATATCAGCGAGCATCATGATTTCGAACGCTTTGTCGAATATGATGATTGTATTATGCGCAATTGTAAAATCTGCTGGAATCAACAGATTGTGGCACAAGCCGTTTCTTACATTTGTTTCATGTCTCACACTTACAACTGCTTTCCTTTGAATCCGTTACAATATTTAGGAACCATCGCTGGAGATCAACTGCTGCGATTCACAGCAAAAGGTTGTACCGGTCTAGACAACGAGGCCATTATCAAGCTTGCAACGCGATCACCCAAACTTCAGGTGCTCAACCTGCAATGCTGTTCATTCTTGACAGACTCAGCAGTGATAGCAGTCGCTCAGAATTGTCCCGATTTGCGCCACTTATGCGTATCCGGCTGTAGCCTGTTAACCGACGCTTCCCCGCAGGCTCTTGCAGGAGGTTGTGTACGTTTGCACACCCTCGAAATGGCCAACTGCCAACGTTGCGGTGATGCTGGACTGGCGCCACTGCTCAAAGCATGCCATGATTTACGGCGGTTGGACCTTGAAGAGTGCAATCTAATTACGGACTCAACCCTCAACCACGTTGCTGCATTCTGTCCGCTAATGGAACAATTAACGTTGTCTCACTGTGACCAAATTACAGACCAAGGCGTACACAAGTTAGCAGTGCAACTCCGACGCCTTGTCTGCATCGAGATCGACAATTGTCCCTTCATATCAGATACATCGCTTGAGTATCTGGCGGACCACTTCCCCACGTTACGGCGCGTCGAACTGTATGACTGTCAGCTAATCACTCAGGATGCCATCGGAAAATTCCAGCAGCGGCGGCCGGAGGTTCGGCTGCACACGTACTTCGCGCCCGCTACGCCCCAGCAAACGGATCCGCCCGGAGCAGGCAGGCAGAGGTACTGCAGATGCTGCGTCATCGTATAGCAGATTCCAGAACAGAATGTTAGTAGCAGCCCTATAAAACGATGAAGGGATGCCAGAACGAGAGGCAAGGAGAGACAAACAAACAAAAAAGATAGACAAACAGACTAATATGGATGAATGGAACATCAAATCGATATACACATATGAAAGGGAATAGGAGAGGTGGAAGGGACAGAGAATAATCACTTGGTTAAATGCAAATAATAAACTAAGTGCTACAAAATATTAAAACAATGATTCATACAAATCCAAGTACCATTAAGGATAAATCAACTAACTGATGCTAAACCAGCCTATCTGTTAACCGATTTATTCCGCTAATCCAACAGCCACCGCAACCTGCTATAATATTAATCAGAATTATAATAGTACTGTCTCCTCTGCGTGTCCTAGACCAACACTGGACCGTTAATCAAAAGGTCAGTGCTTAATTTTGGGTTGTAAGTATACCACCGAATCGTTCTGCAGCTGCAAGTTGCAACCCTGTCCAGCAAATTAATTAACTGAACCCGATTAAATAGCGCAAAAACATAATAACATAATATAGCGACTTATCATGGGACAATGCATTGCGGATTCTGTTTAATCGTTGAAGTATCAATTATGTAAGCTTACAAAAAACAGAAAGGAAAAGACAAAACGATCGAAAATAAAAGAAACAGTTGATTCCGACTGTGACGTGAGTAAGGGAATACTAAATATCTAAATACATGCGATAGATTCATACAGAATTTTCCGCAAGACTATTTGGATACACAATGCTATTATTTCTATTATTATTGTTATTATTTGATAGTGATACTGCAACAATGATGATTACCATTAGGGATACCGCCATGTCTGATTTGTACATATATACTTAACAATAATATCGTATGCGATGGTTTATAAGAAAACTACGGAAGGAGGAGCAGGTCGAAAAGTAAAAATGCGGATGTTTATTGACGAGTGCTACTAATACCGGTCGTTTAGGAACAACTTGTCACTGATTCAGATTCAGGCACGAGGTACTTGATGAAATATGGCTCGCATGGTAACCAGAAGCGGAAGAACGTCGAGGGGATCTCATAGATTTCTGTGGTATGCCGATATCACTTTGATAGCTAGAGGGCTATGGCTAATTGCAATGAGCGCTGGGAGAAACTCTTCTGTGATGGGGGAGAAATTTATCTATCTACCTATGTAATTAATGGCAGCAGTGTACGCGCGTGGAGCTTCGGCGCCGTGTCCTATCATTATTGTTCTGTTATGACACCTGTTTCTTGTTAGCAGACAATAAAACAGTGAAGATGATAATGACCAATTACGATGATAATGATGATGACGATGGCAACAAACTATGATGATGCACGTGGATTGTTACTGTTAACGATTGATAATGAGGATGGCGTTTATGATGATGTACATTGAGCAATGGAGTAAAAAGCAACAAAGAGGGTGCACAAAAATGGAGAAAGCATTAAACGAAGTGGAACAGGCGAAAAAAGGAGAATGAAGACAACAGCTTGGAGTGAGATTAGGAAGCAGAGTCATAAGACTCTGCTTACGCGATTCGTTTTTTATGGTTAAAATGCAGAACGTAGATACTGTTAGAAATAATGAAAACATCAGATGTTAAATGAGTAAAAATATCGACCGAGACTTTGCTGAAGGATTTTGGTGTTGCGATACGACACCGATTTTTATTAGATATAAGAATCTAATATTACCGTTACTTACTACAGACACGATTATATCTTAATTGTAAAAATTATAATTATCTCTTAGATTGGAAAAATATAACCAATACCATTATTATAAGTATTGATGAATTATATCACATTATGTATATCCTGAAAGGTAATGGTTGCGTGCTATGACAACGTTGTTATATAAAAATTTAATATTATTAATATTACATATGCTCACTTAAAATCTATATATATATATATATATATTGTACACTGATCTAACTATATTAAAATGTGGGTGTTGCAATGGGATTTTCTTGGTTATTTAAAAATATATTGATATTTGCGATAACGCGCTTTTATGTAAGTAATTTCTTAAAACACTTATTGTAAAGTGTTGTGCTATTTACGTTTTGTTGTTTTCACTTTCTTGGGTGCATGTTTACAACTAAAGACGCTCTTTTTAGACTTTCATAATTCTACACGCTCAGATGTGCCGTAGCAAACAAGTAGTTTAGTTTCGAAGGAAACTGGCATACATCTAAGGTAGATAAAATAAATACAAAAGTAAGGATAATAATTTGGACGTAGAGTTTCTCCAAAAAGGCGTGTCTGTGGGTATCATGGAGGGAGAAGGGTATGCTGGGTTAGTATTTCGATATCAGCTAGTTCCGTTTGTTTGAAAGAATGAAACCTTTCACACATGTATGAATTCTGTATTACACTGAGTAGAAATCTGTAAATGAATCTCAGTTCAAGTTTAGACTCAACAGAACTTCTTCGCAAGCAAATATCAAACAATTTTATTTTAGTCAAGAAAAAAAAACTGATTAAAGCATTAGAAGTTGCAGTTTGAACTTCCATTTGTTATTTAACAAATATAACATATTCTCATGGCGAAATTAATCACACATTCTAGGGAAATCAATTAAAAATAAAATACACTGAATGTCAGAAACAAGTGTCTTCGCATGAAGGTATTATTACAGTTTTGTCCTTTTGACTCTTTTCAACTGCCGCTTTCCTAGATACGAGGACAAAATAACTGAAGCATAATTTGTGAGTTAGGATAAATTATCATCGCCCTTTCACCATTATTACAACAAACTAGTATTTGCGAATCCTCTTTAGTTTCTCTAATGATGATAGACATGTGTGCCTAAAGGCGTGACAGAGCGCTTCCTGTCTTATATTATCTACTGATACCACGCTATATATGTATCAAATTATGATCGTGAGTAATATAGTGCAAATGTTCACTGCTGCTGACATCCATAGTTGTTCCTGGTTTTCAAGGAACAATGGAGAAACTTTGGATGTCCTTAATCCAAAATATAATATTCTGTTACCACAAGTTTCTCTGTTAATAACAATACAAAACGAGTTACAGTTTTCTTTGTGACAAGTAACTATGTGCTATCACTGAAAGCTCAATAGAAAGAAATGATTTTATATTACTACTATTACATTTAATGGCTTTCGATGGTGCCTAAATTTAACTCCGCATGCAAAATTAGAACATAATACTAGACAACAAGACAAATATAATACTATCTTCTCAGCCTTGCGAGTGATCGGCATTAAAATAAGTGCTTTAACGACATCCAATGAGAATTACATAGTACAAGCTTTTCTTTATGAAAAATGTAACCCTCAGGGAAAAGTTCACTCTGTCGGTTACACAGTTGAACTCACTTGGTCAGTGGATCACTGTGCTTACAGGAAATGGTTTTTAATACAAAGAAAATAATTAGTTTCTACAGAGATGTAATAGTAAGAACGAATATCTTTGATAGATGTCATTCAAGTTCGAATATTTAAACATGCGTCTGACTCGAAGTGGTGAAATCTATTTTATTTCATTCAAAGTTTAGTATTTAGTTTAGTACGTAACGGGTGCCGGCCCAGAGATCAATTTGGACTCCATCAAAGCCATGAAATTGCCACTGCAAACGTGTAACAAATCGGTTTAAAAAACGGTGAGCACTTTTGTTCCTCTTTCTGAATACGCATAATATCAAAATCGCGCTAATGGTCTCATACAGTATGGAACACATCTGGAAGAATCTCAGTACAACTAAGTTAAGGACTAAGTGAAGCCTACTTTTCTCAAGAGGGCACTGGGCCTGCTTATACTCTGCCATTACCTTTATGTTTCAGCGGGTACACTGCTATTTGCTAAGGATTTACAATGCTAGTTTGGCTTATCAAAAAACGCCGATCTGCTTGGAGTCCATGTGACAAAGGGCATGAAAAAACCTGACAGGAAGCACCGACATGTGATAATACGCTACATAGTGCATGGCTTTCACCATTTTGTGAATTAGTGAGCCGCACTATGGGCTATGTGAAGGCTGCACCTGTGTCCGATACGAAGGTCTTTTGGCCGATACCATGTACGCTCATATTCAAAGACACTTTCTTGAATAGTAACACTGAGAAGAACGCCGCAGTCGTAACGCTCTATGCTATGTATATTAGTATTTCTATTATATTTTAAAAATGCGTTCATATTTCTGGACCTGACGAGGATGGAAATGAATAAATGTCATGTAATTTCATTTGAACCGATCTATTTCGGATGGATTCATAGAACCTATGTATTCAGAAGATCAACGTTTTTAGAATTATTATAAAAAGGTTTCTTTTGATGCGATAAGGGAACATAATCGAATTTGCTCATTCTATATATATATATATACCATCAGTGCTCAATAAAATAATTTCGACTATAAAAGTCAACTGTGCGACATTCAAACGAGATATTTTCAAACATTTTTGCGAAAGCGGTATCATTTAATTTTACACCAACACTCTAAATGTCGAAAAAAACGTCCGCAAACAATCCCAAACTGCTGACAGACGATATGATATATTTGCGAACGTCAGTATTTTATGACACCGCCTTTCGCAGCGACAACTGTCGCCGCTTTTTGGGGTGTGCTTTCGACGTAATTTTTCGCTGTCTCACTTACGAGTGAAGTGAAACCTGCCGAAACAGCAGGCCACGGACCTGACCTGAACGTCATCGGCAGCGAGCAGCCTAGAGATACTTCGAACTCTATGGCAACGCGTCCCATCATACATGAAGACGTAGCAATTATCAAGAAACTATTACCTGAGGCAATATTTTGATTTCAATAACCTTAGCAGGTGTAGTATTAACCATGCGAGTCTTTACCACAAATCACAGACCATTCCATAATTTTTGATAAATGTTTGATTTTCGATACAACGCACTTTTTGGGAAACCTTTCGTCAACACGTGTGAGAGTATTACAAGCGTTTTGTCCGAGAACTTCGAAATGAAATTCGTCTGAAGCAGAATTTTTACTAGTGACCAACGGAGAACTTCTGAAGTGGTTTGCGCAATCAGGACAGGCTCGTTCCGTGTAAATATCTCTGTAAGATTTTACTGCCCTTGAGCCCAGCTTGTTTGAGTCAGCGACGAGTCGGAAATTTCGACATAGCGGTCCTCTAGTCTTTTCTAGAGGACAGTATACGAAACAGACCTATATTTCTGAAGTTCTTAACTAATTATACAGTTCTTCCACCGTTTTGGTAAATTTTTTTTGTTCTTCTTCCCAATTTTACGTAACGACAGCGGGAGGTTCTTCCTGAGTTTCTTAACAACGTTAGCGACTGCGTGGTAGGAAACCTGAGGCAACAGCAGATTTACGTTGTGTGCATTTGTGTTGACTAATCTGCTAAGCAGTGCTTACAGATTTTCTTCTGTTCTCAACATCTTTTCCTCTTCCCATATCGGCACTTCGTGCACAGAAATACGCAAGTTCACCAGCAAACACTCGGATCAGTCAAGCTCACCTCAAATCACCACTTAGTCGCTCAGCGCCGACCATAGTCGTCTCAGATAGTAAGATAGAACATATTAGGTATTCTAGAGAAACAATATATTACCGACTGGAAAGAATGAGATGGTAGCTGGAAATGTGAATGTTGAATTCACTGAAATCCAACTACAGCAAGCTATCTGGCTTGCTACCAGTAAAATAGCATTTGTAAATTTACACATCGTTTGTCAGCAGTTTAAAAATGTTTCTTTCTACCAATTTCTTTATCGTCATGCCCCAAGGGGTACCAAGCTATTACCGTAAGTATAGCAGTGCCGGTTCGATGAGTCAAAAGCTGTTTGAAAGTACCTCACCTTACTGCTGCGCAATTAATCTTCAAATTTGAAGGTGCCAATAACAGCTTTCGTTTTAAAGTCGATTTAAAGTCATGGCACGTCTCCGCTTCTCAGAGCCTTTAGACTGCTTAGCTTAGATTTTTTTAGATGTATTAAGAAAATTATGCCTTTTGTAGCCTAAATGTTTTTTGTGCACAATAATGCGCCGATGAACTTTCACCAGTTTTGACAGTAACAAGGAGGTTGGGCTAAAATAGGTAGTTAAGAAAGTGAACAAGATAAAAAGTTACTGTTGGCATGTGCTATTCGAATTTATCTGGGATTTATACACATAAAGCACGTAATTGTGAAAGCCGCTTCAACAAACGATCGGAAGGAGCAAAGAAACATGACGATATTGTCTGGTCTGCAACTATCGCTTGACATATT